TGAGGCCAAGATTCTCTCGAATGAAACTGATTCCTTTGAATCAAATGCGATTTCCTACATTGAAACGCACGCTTGACAAGATACTTAACAATGGTACAAAGGTACAGTGAAAGAACTAACAGTACTTCACAGAATTACTTTAACTTGCTGAGGTCTCTTTACACTAAATGCATGTTTTGAATGGAAGGCTTGGTCCATCCCCTAACTAAAAAATACAGAAGAACACCGCTTTTCGGAAACCTTTACCGTAGTTTATTTGCGCAAGTCANCTACGACGAAATTGACCAGGAACGGCGAAAGAGGAAAACCTTGACGAACGCCGCTGCCGTTGACGAACAGCCTTCTTAGTTCATCTTAGACCCTAATTTAATACGGAACCAGCCCCTCGGTAGGGAGTATTTTTCAAGGCACGTGGTGATTAAAGAAAGTTGAGGCGGGAAGTTCATGCATCGTTAAAACCGAACGATCATGTAAAACCAGTAGACTAGGTTGGGCAGGTCGACATTTTGCTTATCGTTGGGCTGTAAATAATACAAGCTCTCAATCGTTGGGGGTCGATTCCAGTCTGGTCAAAATAATCGCGAACAGTTGGATTCGAGGGGAGAAACTAACTGCAGTAGTCACTGCCATCATTTTATGCATACCAAGTATCTTGTCAAGCGTGCGTTTCAATGTAGGAAATCGCATTTGATTCAAAGGAATCAGTTTCATTCGAGAGAATCTTGGCCTCAATGGAATTTACTCATTGGGTTATTGAGGGCTTAGACTGACTCCACTCATGCAATGAATCATGCTCACATTCACGTCTGGGCATGGTGACCGACTTATCGATCCGCCGACCGACAGAGGTCAATTAACTCGGGGTTCGTTCATTCGTATCTATGACGCATACTCGATCAACGATCACGAACATAACGTTCCCGGGTGGAAGGGGCGTGTGGGGGCGGGCGGAAGGAGAACGGCCCACCTCAACCCACACCCCCGAAACATTCAACCTCGATCGTTAACTCCGTGGGTTGATGTTGCAGATCCCACCTGCATTTGTCTTGATTCTGCCCTCTGGGTCCGTCAATTCTTCTGTCAGCAACGTTGGACAAGCTGCAGGTTTGGATCTTCCCAAAACGGATCTTGGACTGAAGTAGCCTATTCGCCGCAGACATCAACCAACACTGATTGTTTTGTGCGCGCAAGACAAACTTCTGTGGTAATCTTATCCCGTTGAAGTGGATTTTGTTTCCGACGGGGTTTCGGATTCCGCAACCCTTTTGGTAATACACCACCCGCGGTCATCTTCGGCAATTAGCTTCCGCAAGTAACAAACCATGTGTCTGAGCTAGTGTGACTGGTCTGAGCGATGATCGCAGTTTAGGGTTGGAGTAGCAGCCCTGGATGCAGTGTATGACAACCGAGGCAATATGGTATTCTTTACAGTTTGTGAAACCCTTACGCTTGCTGAACAAAGCTTAGTTGGGGTTCCGTGCACTGAGCAGAAAAATAATCGGCCAAATCCTATAGTCTGTGAGAGAAGCCCGTATACGTGAATTGGTTATCCTTCCGTTATGCTTATCGACCAGGGCACCAACTGCAGTAGAAACATTAACTTGGAGGTTAAACTCCGGTAAATATGCACTCTTCGATTTTTCACTCCTGGTTGTGTCTTGCTTTTGATAAGGGCTATCCTCTGAAGGTAGTTGGGTCACAGAGGTTCACAATTCATCGCCACTTCAAGATTACAGTGGACTTCCTGCGGAAAGAAAATTTGTTACAGATGCCTACAAGGTGTAGTCTTTTCGGCTGCTTCTCGAATTCCCGTTTCGAAGTTTATCTCATTTTATTCCGGTGCTCATTTTTTATTAAATACGTTTCGTATGATGAGCAGCAGACGGGCTGGACCCCATAGTAATGAAGTCCTATTGTGTAGTAGTGGAAACCGGTAACCAAAGTTCCGGGACTTGGAATAGCGAACCACAAAGGGATTCACTAGGTCAAGCATGCTTTTGAACCGGACGTCAGCAAAGTTCCTACCACCAAAGTTGGATTCCTGTGGCTGGCCTTGAATTTGAACCATAGGGTTCTAAGCGCGCCAGTGACAGCGAATAAACCACTGCGCCACCACCACCCTAAGTTGAGTTTTGTAAAGTTTGCTACTACCAGTTCTCTGTGCTGGTGTGGATCGTTCGTTCTGGATAATGCATTCCCTGTGCACCCTATTTTTTCCGAAAAATCAGGTCTATGCCGAGAAATTCGATTTAATGACTCCATTCCAAGCTGAAGATGACGATGGACTTGGAGAGGTTGATGGTATGAGTGCGTTGCACATTGCAGTTCAGCAAACACGATCAATCGGTATCAACTCCAGCCCTACAAAGATTGATTCTCATGCGGCGATAAATGGTTCACATAATAATTTGGCCCTCGTCGAGTTCATCATTCAAAATTCCCCCAGGTAATGGATTCTACTCTGTGCGATCATGTGTATGTTTGAGACCTATTTACCTCCTCCAATCATCTCTGTTTTTACTCACATAAGTTTTAAATGATGTTGACGGTTTCTTAGCTGCAAAATAACACAAACATCACACGCGTCTTCCTGCTACGAAAAAAACGTTGCAAGGGGAATCAATCGTGAAACCTACCAATTATAGTAGTTTTCTCTTTCCTTGTGCACTTTGTTCTCTGTCTGAGCAGGCTCTGTTTTATACCAGAATACAATTCTTATGTGATTATTCCACGGAGTAGTTCTTTTTTTGCTTCTCACTGTTCTGAGTCCATCAATATTAATTGTGGATTGATTGGTTGTCGCATTAGCCCTCAGAATGATAGTCAAGGAACATGTGATTGGTCGTATGCAGTGTGTCCGAAGAAAGTATCTTCCGTCCGTAGATAAATTTTGAGGTATTCAAAACTCCGTGGTCAGTTATATCCCGAGTGACTATTGTACCGTTGGCACCGTTTTCATGATCATAAGCCAGCACTCCCCAACTATTCGTGTTCTCTTTTCTGTCAGCACATCTCGGTAAGCTGTGTGCGTCTGCATCTGTTTTTTATACGTGGCCCAACGCGCCCTTTTGTCTGGTCACCTTTGATCTGTAAGAATAATTATCCTCGCAGTCAATCATGCCAATTGTATGTACCGGTTGGTATGCTGAAAAGAATCATGGCCACTTAGACGTGAGCTTACTTTTTAGAAGTTCGTTCATCATATTTGTTTCATAGACCTTGAAACCAATTAGTTGCATGATATTCATCCATCAGCGGATTCAAAGAAAACCAAATAATTATTTCGGTTTGTATTCCAATTGATTATAGTTGATGCGTTCAGTTCTTAATCCGTAAACTCATTACAAATCCTAGTTATTGAACATCCGTACTCAGGCATCATAACTTATTCGTTTGTGACTTTTTTTAATCGAATTGTTCTCTTGATACTGTGTTTCGTTCCAGTCCATCCACTCAGTTTTATGGTCCTTTTATTTTCTATAAAGTGTGTTTTCGCGTGTGTCCCGTAGAAGTGCAAACTGTCTTCATATTCTGAAATGGTACCTGTCCGTTCAACTAGCAACTACTCTTATAGCTCATGTCCGAGTTTGGGCTCTCTACTTTACCGCGGAAGTTTTTTCTTCAGGTTTCCCGTAGTATTTCTCACAAGTGAACGAAGGCTGTATAATAAGTGACTGTATTTAGGTCGTCTATTTCACTATTCTTCTTGCAATAATATGAAACTGTTCACCCTACTTCGCGTTTTCCATCATTTTAGAACAAACCTGTCTAATATATATATACAACACGGTCTCATTAAGATGGATCTATCATTGATTTGTTATTTTTGACTTCACGAAAATAATTTATTGCCATCTATCTTGTGTTTTGCTAATTCTTTTCTGAATAATTTAAGAACATTCCATTGTTTCAAGTGTGAACAAGGCAAGTAAGATTTAAGTTGGGTACTATAGAGCCTATCCCTGTGGTGCTCTTACTCTCGCTTGGTTGTTTGGCGTTTTCTTTTGTTTACGAACTCTAGCGTTCACTCAGATGAACACATTCCCAAGTTCCACAAGCACCACATTTTTTCTCTGTCACTCGATGCTCCTAGACGCAAAATATGTTCTTGCTCCTCAATTTGTCGTCATTGAGTCAAGCGCCTTCGTAAAGCGAGCAAATTATCCAGAACGTTCACAGCTCGTGTATGTGGATTGCATGTTTCCAACTGAGTGCTCTCCTTGTCACTCCAGCATTGTGGATGTCATTCCGTATTCACAAATACGCTACTTATTTGTGCAAGTGAACCGCATAAAAGCATCATATTACCGCTTGATTTTCAATACAAACCTCAAACTCATTTTTCACCTGCACAACTATTGATTCACAGGATATTTAGTGTGATCAAGGCGGAACTCGCAATCATAAGTCTACTGTGTCGCAAAATTTTTGTTTCTGGGCAAAACCACCATAATAATACATGCGAAGAATACTAAAATTGATTGGTGAATCTGATCAGCATGCTTGAACTTGGTGTAGCTATCAAATACGCGGAAAGAGGTAAGTTACGAGAATCGGTAAATTGAAGCCAGCGCGTGCTTGTGTGAATGATTGAATGCGCACACACAATTTGCAAGCACGCTTGCATTTGCTGAATCCTGATCAATTACTCGATGCTGTAGTAAGAACAATGATGAGACGATTTCCTTCCAAACGCGTTGTTGTGAAATCTCATTCCGTTACTATACAAATTCCTGGAAAACCTCCATTACTCCTGTCACGTGAACGTAACGGTGAAAGTGCTCCGGTGACGAAGACTACCTATTGACTAATTTGAGCACCAGAAATATTTGGATTTTAGGTTTTAGTCGAAATAATAGTGTGATATGGCAAAATTGAGCGAAGACATGGATTTCTGTATTTTTTTCAATTCTGTTTTCGTATTTAGATTAATTGATTATGGGCGTACACCAGTTTTCTCCTCTTACGGATCATCTTTCTACGAATGAATAATTCTCCAATCCTTTGTTATGATTACTTGATTCCTATTTCCATTTCCTTGACATTCTTTTAGCTCCAATAGCTTTTTTGCTCGGCATTGATGTGGTTGCCATGACTGCTGAAATTTTCATTGTGCCGATTGGTCGTCATTTCTCTTTATGTCACTCTTTTTCATCGCCAGTCCTTATACCGAACTTTCTTTCCTGATCACTATATGGTATATGTAGTTATTATTCTCAAGTAAACAACTATCTTTTTCCTCAATCCGTTTGCTATTACAGTGTGTCTGTGCAGCGTACCAATAATCTGGGCGAAACTGCTCTACACCACAGTGTTCGGCATGGTTGTATGGATGCATTACGGTTACTCCTACAAGCTGGAGGCTTGCCCACTCCGGTAAGATCGCTTTTCTCAAAGTCATTCTTGTTTGGATCATATTCATTTCATCAAATCTATCTAATTTTTTCGTATTTACTTTCTTATTGTTACTTCCTCCGGCCTTCATCGTTATCCAAAGATGCTTATAATGACCAATAAAGCTGGCCAAACAGCCCTAAAACTCGCCGAGGATTTGGCCGCAAACTCTACGGTGGATAAGGAAGTATATAAAGGCTGTGCGGAATTGTTGCGTCTTGCCGAGAGCATCTTGTCCGTTAAATCCGGGGTTGAGACTTCCGGCTCGGTCTGTTCGCTTTTTCCTAACTCAGAAGCCAACGAGCGTGTTCTGGCAGCCCGGAGTGCTCTGATGGAGGCGGTCGATCAGCTTCATTCAGTCGATTGGGGTCTGATTGACCAACCTAGCTCTAAATCACGCTTTGCCGGCGCATGTCGCCGCACGGCTAGTGTGGCGGCTTCGGATTTGGGGGTCACCTTCGCCCTGGGCGGATTGGGTCGAGTGAGTCAACCGTTTTTCCGTTGGATGGTATTTTGTGTTTGGTTGTCGGTCACTGCATTTCGATCGTTCACTGTGTTCAACTCAACCCGATGAATATATAGGACAAACGGGATAGGTCAATTAGTTTATGATAACGCCTTACCTCACGGAAGCATACCGGGAGAAAAGACACTGAGATCAAAAGGTTTTCAGTCAGGAAAACCTTACATAACCCTTAACTTGCGCAGTTAGACACGTAGCTGGCCATTTGCTTCGTAATCTCTGCTTCATTTGAATACATCTCTAATTACTATGTTCTATATTTCACTGTTTACGCTTGGTTTATTTAGTTTTCCATTATTTTTGAATTAACAATCATTTTCCATCAGCACCGCTATGAGGTTTCTGAAACTGCTCTGGGGACATAAATCTAGGTAGATTGAACTTTCGTAGGTCACGAATGTTTCCGCATTTGGTCTCAGGCTTTTGAAAGCTCCTTTATCTATTTGCTATTTCCTTTCTTCTTTTTTATGCGGGCTATAAAATCAGTCCCACGACTCATCCACCGAATCACCCAAATTCTCACCCTATTCAAAACAACACACAGTGACAGGAGACGGTGATGGACCGGTTAGTGTTGTGGACAAAAGTGGTCGATGTAAGTCGCATTTTTTTTCTTCGACCTACCTCGTATTTGCAACACACTTTATTGTCTTTATTACACACACACACACACACACACACACACACACACACACACACATATATATATATATATATATATATATATGCAGGTATTGACCAAACTCGTGCAACATCCTGATTTTCATCACATTTNTCTCAATGCTTCGTTTTTCCAGCCTCATTCACGGCATTGAATATTATATTGCCCCACATCAGACGCAACATATCTGATATAATATCCACTTATGTCACTGCTTCTATTAGCCACATGCCATTAAAATGTACGATTTCGCGATTTCAACGGTTTTTGCTAATGCATTAGTTGCAAGATAACAAGGTCACAGTAGAAAACGTAAGTGTAATTTATTTAATAAAATGACTCATAGACTCTATACAGGTATTGCACTTTCATCTCGTCCATGTTCCATTTGCTCCTCTGCATTTCTGAGCACTGGAGGACATCGCTTTAGGGTGGAATCCACCACGTTGACTGCCAAACAGACTTTTATAGTTGTCTCTAATACACCGCACACCCTTAACACCGGCGATCTGTGGCAAGGTAGCTAACTTATCCCCGTTTCTGATAGAGAGAAAAGTTTCCGAATAAATTAAAATCTCAGCTGCTGCGCGTTGTTAAAACGAATTTAACATTGAAATTGACCCCTCTAGAAACTGCATAAATGTGAAAAAATAATATTTATTTAGGTCTAACCGTTTTCTACCACCAAGCTCAAGTGAGCTGATATGCTAATATTCATATGTGAAAAGTATGACTTCTGCGAATGCATGTTGGGATTGACAGTTATAGAAAACCTTATCAGTGCAGAAAATTTTGCTATGTCCGAATTGGCGTATGCAGGAGGCTAACAACTATGCGCTCAATAGTCATATCCCTTCCAACTCGTTAGGCGGTGTAGATATTTAATTCTTTTGACGGGTAAAAAAACTGGCTCAGATCAACTTCAACAATATGCTGAATTGCTCGTTGGCCACCAGTGAGATAAACCCATTGCCAAATGGGCGAGCGACGTGATTTGAATTTCTTGGTCAAATCAATATGCGCTGTGCTTTGTTGGGCGTTCGCTAACAGCTTTATATCACGTGGTTTTAGCTACATTTCAAATTGAGGAATCATTTTCCAAACCAAAAAGCGTGGGGAAAAAATGGCTAATCGGCCGAGACTATCATCCAGATTAGTTTTGTGCAACTATTCTCTGCTGCAATCAAATACAACCATCGTCTTACTTGGCCGGTTTTCTACCTCTCCGTTTATGTCTTGATAGAGAAATTTCGTGGAATATGCAACAAATTGGACTTATGTTCACATAGAAGCGCTTCCACAAGATATCAACTGAGCCAACAGATCCTCGTTTAAGTTGCTTCTCGGCTTTAATTATATGCCAAAACCTTTTGAAAGTTTCATCCGGTTTGGGCTTGGTGACACTACAGGATGCTTATTCAACGAGCCGCACATCTGAAGGTCAACTTTCGAAGATCAACTTGTTTCTTGAACTATGTTTTCAGTTCTTCCAGTATTGGAGATAATGCGTGAGTAGTTTGTAGCCTAATAATTTATAGTAATTTGTTTAAGTTAGAATATTTTCAATAATTTGCTTATTTTCAGTGCGCTGAGCGAGAAGAGAATATGAATTTAGAACACGTATGCTCAACCTAATAGAAACTCTCATAGGACAAGAATCACCTACTAAAATGAATGAGCTCCCATGCTGCTTTTCCCAAAATATTTTATAAATCAAAGCTGTAACTTTCGAACTACTGCAAATTTTATAGCGACACTCAAGGTCGCGCACATTTAAATGATCACAGAAATGAACTAAAAACATAGATGTTGGAGATAAGGTCAGGAATAAACACACTTTACTCATAGCCATCTATATATAACCATGATATTGCAAGCTGAAATGGATTTTCAAGATGATAGTGATGTTGCACGAGTTTGGTTAACACCTCTATTTATATATATATATATTGAAGCCATATAACTATTTATTGACTGGAGGGTCGAAAATACTACAATACCCTCGCAAATGTGGATGAAAGATTCAGTATATACACATCAGTGTTTGTGTCTTCTCCAGACATTAATTTGTCGGAGGCTTGTTTGCGAGCTCAATTCGGTCCGCCACAATAGACCGTTTCGCATAAAATCGCCTCGTTCTTTTGAATGTTTTGCACCATTTCTGGTGAGTTACTCTGGCTGAGGTTCGATGTGATATGGATAATCGTCCATTAGTTCATTCGCTCAAATCAATGATTCAATCTATCTGATATCATACATGAGATTTCCATGTCAATTTTTTTGATCCGAGAGAGGTGCAAGCCGTGGGTTTGTGCATGTGGTAATGTTGCGGTTTGAAAATAAACCACAATTGTGCACGAATCGTTTTTGATAGAAGCTTGATTCTTGATGCAAATGAGCCACCCTGTGACCGATTGTATACATTGAAACTCACATCGATCTGACGCTCTTCTTGAAAACACAGGGTCCCAACCAGACTTACTTGTTCGAATGTCGCATTCATCGGTAATCAATGATGAGCAGAAAGGAGAGAAGTTAAAACAATAAACGAATCGCGGTAAATTTGTTATACATACAGAACGCTATGAACTTGATCGGAAATGTTCCCGGAATTCAGTTGGCCACAGCCTCATAAATGATACAAATCCTTGATTGGAAGTGAATGGACGTAGTTGATACCACCGTATTGTAATTTAATGAAGACGATGTTTGGTCCAATGCCATCAAACTATTCCTGTGTACCCGAATACCTAGAGTTAGAGGTGGATTACATTTGTTCCGGCAATTGTTTTAAAAAGATTCAAACTTTTATGTGTAGTCTAACCCAAGGAAATTATCGGATATCACTGTCACTTCTGAATTCAATCATTCAAATTGACATAAATTTTGTTTTATTTGAGTTTTTCTCTTCCTCTTACTGTCTTCAGGTCTCGGTCGGTTACAAAACTATGTTTCTCAGTATGGACATGCGCTAGCCACATTGCCTCGCAAAAAAGGTCCTGCCCCGCGACCGCCTCCGACAGAATCTTCTGGTGGCGGTGGCGGTCCTTTGGAATTCGAAGTTCATTATGATGTAAGCTTGGTCTTGCATTACTCATTTTCACGACCAAATAATGTTATTTCTCCGGGTTTCTTAATTACACTGCAAATTGGACCGGTGTGCACTAATTGCGATTACTGTTTTCACTCGCCACCATTTTTCCTCACCACTATTTTTTGCTGGCGAATTCAGCAATTCCGAATGGTGAAAAGTTGAACAATTCGACATGAAACAGCAATAGTGTCTTTCTAAGTACAATACATATGGTTGTTCGGTTCGTCATTAGCAAACATCAACACTAACAATTCACCGCATTTATACAGTATTTTTTTGCGTACGCAAGCATTTGGTGTGTTTGCATTTACCAGCATTTGTGATCGTTATCGGTATCTCTGGAATCCAAATACTTTCAATATCAATGCACGTAATGACCGGGTAATACGTCCTGTGTTATATCTCCCTAGTAACTTTCCGATAGTCTCACTTAATGATGAGATGCTACTCCCTAGCTGCCCAGATATTGTATACATGTCTTAAGTTACTGTGGATATCCCATGGAATTCATCATTTTCTTACCTGGATTTGTACCCTTTCACATCAAGACCCAAATTACTGACGTAGAATGCATTCGATGCTTTCCGCAAGTGAGTAACAATGAGAAATTAAATGGTGTACTTTAAATTAAACTTGAGGGATGTTCAACATGACCATCTGTATAGTTAACTATGATATACACTCTATATAACATTACTCTTTTTTATTTATCAAAGCTCCTTATTTGGTCCCGATTACTCATTTACTTTTGCGTTGTCATTGTTGCCGAAAATGAGAACAATAATAGAGTTCTTTGCATTTGAGGGGTTAGCGTCTATTTGATCATTAGATAGCTGATGTGATCCACTCGTCTGGTTGGTCACTTACGCTACTGTTATCTGCCACAGCAGTGTATGTTTTATCTGGTTTATTTCACAAGGTGCATTCCAATACTCTAGATTTGGCCTCGGTCTCTTACGGATATATTAGTGAATGAGCAACTTTGATGAAATAAGTGAGATCATCTTGACACTCGGATATTGCAGCCGTGTTTTGAGCGGAGCTTCATCAACTTCCCTCTCTCTTGATCGGTTTGAACCTAAGGCCATCCGCCTAACATCAACAATCCAAACTTGTAGCATGTAGTCATTGGCTTACCGCATTTGCTCCTCTCATATCTGTTCTATCAAACTCTCTTCGTCCACCTCATGTCCACTAATTTTTTCCTGCTGGACCTCGTTCCCTGTGGCTATCCTTAGATGCAGTAATTTACACTTTTATCCCGTTTTTTTCTCCAGTCAGAAAACTTTCTGCCTCTCTGCATTCCTCATAACCTAAAGCTGCCATTTTAGATGCTGAATAGAGTTACGGTAATTATCTCTTTTAACCTAGTAGCTTACTGCTAAAGATGAGTACACTTCTCAGTGTTTATGTGTGATCTAAACATAAATTCTGGAATAAAAGCCCAAAGACCAAGACTTACTTTCGTACCAGCAAAAGTACTTCAGCTATACCGCTCACAATAAACATTGGCCCATCCTCTTTTCTTCCCTCGCTTCTCTTTTGTGCTCCTAATCAATGTTTATGCATTCTATGTTTATTTTGAACAGAACTCCCCACGTGCTCGTCATAGAACTCGGTTCGCCAAATTTGGCAATGCTTCAGCGTCTACAATCAGCAACACAAAATCTCCGGAAGAGCGACCATTCGGTCGTAAGATGCCATCGCATAGTTTGAGTGCAACAGACTCTCCAGCGTCTGTCAGTCAAAATCCTCTACGTCGGACCACTGCTTCCGTTGTCGAATCCGAATTGTCAACTTCAGAGACCCCACCCGAATTATCGCGTTTAGCCGAACTGATGCACATGAGTCTGTGTGGTGAAGTCGATCGAGATTTCAGTTTCGACTCATCCGGTTCGAAACACGCATCGCCTGCTCACTCGAACCGATCCGTGACGAGTGAGTGACAACTCGTCTTCAATGAAATAATTTAAATGATATCCATTCAGAGAATCGCTTGCTGTTACGCAAGCAGTCGAACGATTGCTGTTGGATCTTCCTTGATCAATGAAAAGCGTATCTTCCATCAGAGTCTGTTTCTGGTCAACTTTAATATTGTTGTTATTGAAGGTTTTCTTCTGGAAATTGTTTAGGAATGCTGCAACGATATAAATTTTTTTGTTGGGCCGCGTAATTTAACCCGGCTATCGGATCTGAAGAGTTAAATAACCGGCGGTTATTCTATTCGGTTATTTTAGACTGGTTTCCACGTAGTCACTTTGGTCCGTTGTTCCCATTTAAAATGTATTCGACTTTTGGATCACCATTGTCACTCTACTTTAACAATAATCAGAAAGGCAATCATAAAACTGATTCTCAGGTTCGCTCCGCCCTCATCCGACGATAATGGTTTTTCGATCTATAGCGAACAGACCACATTGTATTGATGAATGAAGACTCAAATGAGGTGCGAGCTTTCCTGGATAGTTCGAGTGTTCATATACTTGTGATCGATATGTCTGTTGCAACTTTGTGTCAAATGCAGTTACGGATTTGGGTTAACCCAGCTCTCAATCTCACTCTGACTGGAAAGGTAGTGGCGAATCTTTTACTACTAAGGAAACGGTATCTGTCTTCGGGCACATCCCAGTCGAAGTCGTGACTCGGATACAGAGGGTTTGATTCTCATTTACTAACTTGCAACACCTTTGGCTTTCTCGCAACACGTGGTTGTTTGTCAGAATTTCGGGTATTGCTACATGTTCTGTTATTTTGTTGCTTCGTCGGAACCGGGAATACTCGCAAGCCATATATATATATATATATATATATATATATAATACCGTTACTTTCCATTCAAAAGAATCTTATGTAGAGCACTTTCAGAAGAAATTATTAATAATCTGAATTTTCGTCTATCGAAAACTTCGGATATCCATATGAGGATAATGTTTTATTTTTTTCTCCACAATTTGACGAAATTCAGTTTCGCTAT